GCTAAGAAGAGCTGAGAAAACATCTGGCATTTGGCCTGGTAGCCAGGCAGCTCTCAGAACATATGAGTTGAATGAATGAATGAATGAATGAATGAATGAATGAATGAATGCCTGGAGAAGCAGGTAAGGAAAAGGGACAACAGAGACAGGCACTAACATTTACTGCGCACCACACTCGAAAGGCTCCCCATGACCCTGAGGCAGGCATGCTTATCCCCCGATTTACAGAAGAAGAAACAGAGGCTCAGAAAGGCTGAGTATCTCACCCAACATCACACAGCTTGTAACTGACAAATCCAGGCAAGAACTCTGCTCTGTGAAACTCAGAGGCACAAGCCACCTCCTGCATGGGAGAGGGTGGAAGAGCAATGGGACAAGGGGAGCTCCTTAGGGTTCTCTAGTGAGGTTCCTAAGTACAGCCACGGTGCAATCGTGGGCACATTTACATAGCCTCTTGGTTTCCTTATCTGCCAAATGGATCTGACGTCAGAACCCTCAACACAGGGTTGCTGTGAGGAGTAAGGGCTTACTTAACCCAGAGCCTAGCGCACTGGAAGCGATCAACAGGGGATAGCATTCATGAGGCAAGAGCCACAGAAGTCCAGGGATCAGTGGTCTGGGGGGTCCCCCGAACGTTTCTAATAGTCCAGCTCCCTGGGTTCTAGCCTAACCATTAACTAACCCTTAAGGCTGGATCCAAACCCCCATCGTTTCCTCCAGTACCTCACATCCCCCTTGTCCCAATCACACGCTGCACAGGTGCAAGGCACATATTCCCATACGTGCATGCACGTACATGTCCCTTGCCGCCTGCCTGCAGGCCCAGGGCCCCACCCCAGCCTATGTTACCTCTACTTGTTCCCAACAAGTCTTAGCTTGGAGCCTGGCACACAACAGGATCCCTCTAACCAACCTGTGTCCCAGACTAGACACACCGTTAGCAACTAAAAGCTCACTGCTCCAGTCATGCTATAGAAAGAACAGGACCTAGAGTTAGCCCAACCAGGTTTGGAATCCTGGCTGTGACCTGGGGCCTCCATTTACCCGAATGTACAATGAGAACTAGAGGTGGAGGACGGATGCTTCCTCTCCTAGGCTGACATCTAGATTGGCTGTACTTCACTCACACCTAGACCCTCCAAGGAGGGAGCAGGGCAGCATGGAATATGATCACACCTTCCTGTCCCCCTGGAAGCAGCTCCTGATTTATTCACATCCTAAAGCTACGGGGACCCACCTTCCTGGCTTCTCCCAGCTCCCCCAAGAATAAAGACACGGACGTCCTGTCTGCTCATTGGCTAACAAAGACAACAGTTCCCCCAAGAGATGTGGGATTTCACTGCTTGTAAAACGTTTTCTTGTCTATTCATACCTCCCTGGTTCCTGAAAACAATCCTATAAAGCTGCCTGGGTAGGTTCCATCACCTTCATTATATAGATGAAAAAAAGGAGCTCAGAGAGGCCAAGCGACTTGCTCAAAGCCACACAGTAAATGGCAGAGTCAGATCTGAAAGCCAGGTCTTTGGGCCTCAACTCTCAGATTCTTCCATCTACACTCAGATGGTTCTCAGCATGTCCTCACCACATGGTACATGGACAACAGTTAGCGGTGATGGGGAGGAAGACCTCAGACTACCAGGGTTTTGAAGGTCAAATGCAGTCATTGTGTCTGCTCTGCAACTAAAGCTGCATCTTAGAATCCTGGAACCTTGAAAGTTAATAATCTTCAGACTTCCTTGGCTGGAATGGATCCTGAGGTCAGGCAGCTCAGCTGCAGTCACCCCATAAATCCCTCCCTGAATCTTCCTTCTAATCACAACCACCAACGTTTTGTACAGTTTACAAGCTGCTTTCCACAAACCCTACATCTTCATCCAAACATGCAAGGTCACCCAGCCTTTGTTTGAATAACTCAAGTGACAGCAAGCTCACTCTCTTCTCCGTAGCAGCCCCTATCATCTGATCGAGAGGCAGCTGCCCCATTTACACTTTCCCGGCTTGGGCCCCAGGGCAGGCCTCTAGCAACAGGAGATCGGCCACCACCAGTGAGGCCTTCCTTCCGTGGTAGACAGGTCCCAGGGCCCCCACCACTGGGAGATGAACCCAAGCAGGGCCCCACCAGACTTGGGACTCAACCCAGGTAGCATGTAATCTGCAGGGGACACACTGGGGATCTAAAGTCCTCTCCTGGTAACTCAGTTTGTGCATCTTGGAAGCAAAGAGGCCCAGAGGGGCAGGAAACACGTCAAGAGTGCAATACACTCTTGGGGCACCTGGGTGGCTCAGTTGGTTAAGCGTCCCACTTTGGCTCAGGTCACGATCTTACAGTCCGTGAGTCTGAGACCCGTGTTGGGCCCTCTGGTGCCAGCGCAGAGCCCGCCTGAGATCCTCTGACCACCCCCTGCCCCTCCCCTGCTGGTTCTCTCTCTCAAAACAAATATACTTTAAAAACAAACAAACAAACAAAAAACAGAGCATAATACACTCTTACTCCAAGCCCTGGCTGTCTGGAGAACCGGCTCAGGGACCCAGAGCAAGTGCCTTCCTCTCTCTGGCCACAGTTAACCCATCTGTAGAATGAACAAAACACCTCCCATGACAGCCACTACACTTAATGGTCCACATGCCCAATCTCTAGATTTTCATCTCGCCTCTGTGAGATTGGCAGCTGGATCAAACAAAGCTCTAGAGGGACCAACCCAAAGTGCACGCGGCAAGAACTGCACAGTCTGGCCCTGCTCACCTCGCCGCCCAACCTCCTCCCTCTCTCCAGTCTCTGCACTATCCCTCGAAGTCAACACACTTTTTCCCACTTCCTTCAGCCGGGAATGTTCTTATCTAGGTCCTATTCAGCTGACCGCATGTCACCCTCCAGGCCTTGGCCTCCCTGAAGGCCCCCAGCCCCACTGAGAACATGATGGGTGCCTCTGGAAACGTGTCACACACCACTGGGAAACAGCAGTGATCACAACTGCCCTCATCTGAGGCAGACACTCCAGAGGTGTTTGCAAACATTATCTCCTTTAACCCTTAAGGTTGGAAGATGTGGGATATACCTTTTTACAATGAGGAAACTGAGGTCTGGAGATAGTAAGTAACTTGCCCGAGTTCACACAGCCAGGAAGCCACAGACCCGGATCCAATAGTAGCCTGAGGTCTGCGCATGAAGCCTGCAGTACTGAATGAATGATGGAAACGTGGTCCAGTCCCAGCCTAGGCAATGGGAGGTGCCCAGCCAGGCCCTGGCCCCTGTGAGACCTTGGGCTCAACCCCCAGCCTTCTGGGATTACTGCCCATCTTAAGAGTCACGGCTGGCCCAGGCAGACTCCAGAGCTTTGCCTGATGACTTCCTGGAAGGGACAGGAACCCACAGGGGTTGGTACACAAGGAGATTCTGAGGCAAAGCTCCATGGCCCATCTCCCTCGCCAGGACAAACAGTGTGAGCAGGAAGCAGGAGTAAGGAGCTCAGGGTGTGAGTTCAGAGCAGCTTAGGCAGGCAGTGCCAGAAGCAGCTCAGGGCACCAAGAGGGCAGGACCAGGCCTCTTTCTGGATTATCTCTGTCCCACCCACCCTCCACTTGTCCTCTCCTCACTACGGGCTTCTGAACACTGTGAGAGCTGACTGAACGAACCTTCAATTGTCAACAGTGAACGGCGCCTTTGGGAAGACTTACCCTCCCATTTAATAGATGAGAAGGCTGAGACCTGGCTTGGGGAAAGATGAGAGGCTGAAGGGGTGGATTATGCTGATTCAGACAGTCCCTGTCCTTTTATTCTACAAGTATTTACTGAACACATGCTGCAGAGGAGACACAGTCGAGCAAGACCCCAAAAGTCTAACGAGAGAGAAACCTATTTGGCCAAAGCTAAGTGTTGCCAGGCAGACATAAATCAGCAGAGTGATGTTGATTCCTGTGGCTCTTGGCCAGGGTGCTCTGGGTATGGTGCCAGGCCATCAACTGATAAGAGTGGTAGGTAACATTTCAGCCTCTTCCAAAACCATGCTCAGCCAGTGGTGGGAAAGCCCATGAAGCTTTCAGTCTTCCCAGCCAAGGCCAGCACATTTTATAAAGCTGCTACAGTACCAAGCAGTGGGCACACAGAGACTGGCCAGCACCCAGTAGGTGCACATGTTCACTGAAAGGGTGAAGGCAAGATAGGTCTGCTCTCCGGGGAAGCGCTCAGGTGCCCCAGATGCTCAGAGGGAAGGCGGCTTTCAGATGGACAGCTTCCCTCCTCTCACCAGAAACATGGGAAGGCCAAGGGCAGCAGCCATGAGGGGCCAGTGGGACCTCTGTGTACTGGGCAGACAAGAGCAGAAGACAACATCCTGGGATTTAGGAAGCTGCCTCTGAACCAGTTCTCTCACGACATCATCCTCCCAGGCTGCGGGACCGTTAGACTGGGCGGAAGTCGGACTCTAGCCAAGGGGATGTTCCCAGATGTCATGCTTTCAAATGGGACCCACCCTGAAAGGCAGGCGGGGACAGGCCTGAAGCAAGGAAAGCCCTGGGTAAAGACTCAGCATGGTGTTCTGGCCTCTCCTTGGCAGGGGACAGCCATGGGTTTCCCTGGCAGAAGTGCACACCGATACCTGTCCCGGAAAAGAGAGCCACCCAAGGCCTAGCTTCTGGCCTGCGGGTGGGGGGGGTCTAAGCAGCTGAAGGACAGAGGTTCAGTCCCTCACTGGCTACCCACCCCCCACCACAAGTAATGCATCCAGGCATCTTCCAAAGCAGTTTTCTCATGCCTCCCTCCCTCCAAAATCAGGGCCCTTTGGCCAGTCTCGTCATCTAGGGTCCTCCTCAGGAGACGGTTTCCCAGACAAAAAAAGGGAGGCAAGGTGTGTGGGAGCCCCAGGGTGGTCTCCGAGGATTCAGGCCCCCTTTCCCAGCCGCTTCAGCGGGACGGTGGGCCTGCTGGTGCCTCAGGCCCCCGGGGCCGTCACAACCCGCACCTCCCGGGGCCTCCCTCTCCCGCCCCCCACCAGCGCCCCCACCTTGAGATAGTCGTTCTCCGAGCGTAGCTCCTCCAGCTCCCGCACGAAGCCGCCGGGCCCACAGTCCAGCATCTCCTCGGTGAGGTCGGAGAAGGCGAGCGAGGCACTGAGTGGCAGGCGGCTGCTGCCCACCGACGACGCGGCCACCGACGGCTCATCGGGGGAGGCGGGCGGCCGCGGGGGCTGCTGTGCTGGCGGCGCGGGCTGGGGCGGCTGCCCGGTGCGGGCCCCCGCCGGGCCCCCGGCCGCGGACTCGGCGTCGCTGCTCAGCGCCAGCTCCAGGCCCAGCAAGCGCGCCTCCTCCGACGCGCAGTCCGACACCTCGGAGCTGCTGTCGGTGAGGCTGGGCGGCGGGGGCGGCGGTCGCGGCCCGGTGCCCGGGCGCGGGCGGCCCTTGGCGCGAACCCCGGTGCGGACCCCGGCCACTC